GAAAAAAAAAAAAAAAAAAGACAAAAAAAAAAAAGAAAATGAAGATTAGCATGATCATATCACTAAGGGTGCCAATGTGGTTTGAGGGAGACGCCAGAAAAACGAGGAGTTTTGGTGACCAGCCTGGTCTTCAACATCACAATATACATCAATAAAGAACATTTTTCTAGCCAATATTTGCATATTAAATGAAAATCATGAGGTTACTATAGCATGTAGTTTAACAGAGAAATTATTTAGATATTCAGCTGTTTTTCTGAATAATACACTACGGATGAGCATGCATGTTTTTAACTACTCTCTACCTGCTTTCTCCAGAATCGATATCCAGATATGCTCGACCTCAGACTTAATATTCAACCATGAAATGATTAGGGACTCCATTTGAAAACTCATCTTTGCTCCTTAATATTTTTCCACCAGTAATAACTTAGAATTCATTAAATATCATAAGTAACTTAACTAATTAGAGTTAATTGACTTTTTCCACCATTTCCCCTCCTTTCTTCCATTCTTGTGATGCCGCCCACACTGCTATCGCCATATCTATAATCAGGATATGCTGCTACTGCCACCTGGTGATCATAATGTCTACCTTTATGTTTCTTTCCACAATAATAAATCTCTGATTAGCATTTAAAAGAGCACTTATTTTATTAACACAACCAGAATTTAGTCTTAAACACAGTAATTTTCACTTGGCTTTGTGGAAAGACATAGATTAAAACTGACAAAATGAAATGAGACCACAAGGAATTCAATTTCCTCTCTACCCAAAAAAGACACGACTTTGGAATACAAATTGTTTGAGCTGGGGTTGTGTTATTCTTTTGAAGGCCTGACCAAACATCATATTCATAAGGTTAAGGCTACTCAAGTTGGTAAATTTAAAGCCATAACCGATGGACCTAACCAGTATACATAACCATCTGTTCCTGGTGGGAGTTATGAAGAATCTAAAATCTATTGCCGGTGTCCAATGCACCAGCCACTTAACATACATTGTCCCATTATTTCTCAATGCGATCTTGTGAGGTCAGTTTTATGATGCCTATTTACAGATTTAAAGGCTGAGGCTTACAATGATTAAGTAACTTGCAAGGCCACAAAACTGGTCAGTGGCTGAGTCAAGACCGACACCTGTTCTGTCTGACATGAAAGCTCGATGTGCTGTTCTTTTTATCCCACTTACACCTGCTCCCAGAAGCACAACGTCATTCGAGGGAGATAATACAGCCCAGCTTACCAAGTTCTACTTCCACCGTGTCCTTGATGGGACCCAGAATATCTGGTTTGAGATTAGTGTCACCCATTAAAAGATGAAAACAGAAAACGATCATTTGTGTTGGGAAATCTGAAGGCCTGCTTGCTGAAGATTCGGGGGCATGGCCACACTTTGATCTAAATGTTTTGGAGCTCCCTCTTCAAATTTTACCCATAATCCATAAATCTAGGAACTCAGGTTTGTGTGTGAAAAGCTTCCTCTCCAAAATAACTGTGGCATCGGGTTGGTGGTGCTCACAAAACATTAGTCCTTGATTCATCCCTACCCGCCAGTGTGCATTTTCCTCCACACCAGTCCTGCTNAATTTTACCCATAATCCATAAATCTAGGAACTCAGGTTTGTGTGTGAAAAGCTTCCTCTCCAAAATAACTGTGGCATCGGGTTGGTGGTGCTCACAAAACATTAGTCCTTGATTCATCCCTACCCGCCAGTGTGCATTTTCCTCCACACCAGTCCTGCTTGCTCACTGCGGACTGGAGCCCCCATCCCTGTCTCTCCCACAAGATTTCTGTTTGCTGCCATCTGAACGAGTAACCCAATGGTGGGGGGGAACCCACCCACGAAACTGTACCAGTCAAGGAGATCTGAGTTCACCCTTTCCATCCTTAAAGTCATGGCTTGTTTCAAAAGGAAGGAGAATACAATCCTTAATTAATCATTTTATCCTTCAGCCTCCTGCCCCAAACTTTCAATATGCCTCCACTGTCACACTGTCCCATCTCCTGATATAGGGAGATTCACGGCCTTCGCTGTCAGGCCCGTGCACACTTCCTTCTCAGGGACCACCTGCCCTCACGGACACCAATGCTCTCCCACCTCTTTAACCTCTTTCTCTCTCTCTCTCTCTCTGCTTCTTCCCACTAGCATTTATTCATGCTCAGTCTCTCCATCTTAAAAAAGAAAGAAAAGCCCTGCACCTAACACCCCTGCCTCACTCACCCCCACTCCTTCCCAGCACATTCTTGGAAGAGTCCCAGGTCCTCATTCCCTCCATCCACCCACTTCCCGTGGAGTCTGGTTTCTGCCCCCATCGCTCCTCTGAGACTGCTGTGGCCACAGTCACCAGTGACACCCTTGCACCTAAACCCATTGAGCATGGAATTTTCAACCTACTTTACCTCTGGGGCCACCCCTCTTTGAA